TACCGCCTAACAGTCGATTCTTTATTTTTTTTAAATACTTATTCTGCTATTCGGGACACCGGTCTAGCTAGTAAGATAAAAAAAGAAAGTTGATAAGACAACAAATACATTATGTCAAAAAATAAAAATTTACCTTCCCGGAACCCCTCCGTAACACTTGAACTTTATGATATGGTATTAAAGTTCAAATTGACTTTTAAGTATTATTATATATATATAGTAATATAGAAAAGTGTTGTTTTTAGACTTTTTCACTCAATTTTTTTAATTTTTTCTCTCCGTAAGAACCATCCTCGTACTTCAAGGAATATTATAAAAAAAGAATTGGCCAAATTGGTCCAGGCGTTGTTGAGTAATGCGCTTACCAACACATTTTGCGATTCATTTTTATATTATAGATTACCGTTTGTTTTTTTGCATCAACTTGTTTTGCTACATAAGGTGTGCCTCCTGATGTTAAGTGATACCGCCGCCCAAGGACACTCACATTTCCAGAAGGCTTCAAGGCCAGAAGAAATTCAGTCCTTACCAATTTAAATAACATGTACTTAAAATATTTAAATTTGTAGAAATTGTTCGACAATTAAGCGAATAAAACAAAGATGGCCGTCGTTTGAAACCGCGCTCAAAATGGCAGCTCCTGTCAGCTAGACAGCTTTATGTACGCAATAATAAAGCGTTGTGCGTATGAATGGTTTTTTAATTTGATCACAGAGTAATACAAAAAGGCAACAGAATAAAAATATTTATATTAAATAACACTTACGCCCGAATCCAATAACCTATCTCAATCCATGTTTGACCATCTGAGATATTAATCTTAATCCAAATGTTGTAATACGTGTGCTAATAACCAATCGACGGATTGTAATAGCCATCTGTCGACACAAGCTATCCGTGGGATGTCGGATCGGTGTCTGTGGAAGGACCTTTGTATGAAAATGACAGTTGACGAAAGCTCGATTCCAACAGTAAATTATTTTATAAAAACTGGTGTAAGTTAAACTTACACCAGTTTTTTAAATCATTGAAAAATCTGTTTGTTATGTTTTAAACATAGACATATTATATATTTTAATGTTATTTGTACGGTTTTATTTACTTTATTTGGTTTACATTGATTATCAAATATGAGTGTAAACTCGGTAAAATGGAATGACAAAGAGCATTATATCCGTCATCCGTTTTATAAAAAAATGGATTGTCTTCGTAGGGTTCGGTTATTGGGATGCAGATAGGAGATCGATCGACTGTCACGGTCTGATCTCAGATAGTTTTCAATCTTGTGGATTAATAATGGGGTTCGGGCGTTAACCTATAACTTAATAATCTCTCTAGCGTCCTCCGACGTTTTAAATATTTTATTTTAAATTAGAATAGCTGATTCATAACATTATTATACCGTGCGTATAACCAGACACTAATAATTCCAGTCCAATATCTTATCTGTTAAAATTATGTGCGAGGCTTGCTCATATTCCCTAGGGTATCAAAATTGTAATACCGTACCTTTAGTTTATATTGTCATAATAAGAAAGATTTTGTCAACTATGAAAATGTATTTCATTCAACACTTAATATTACGATTATTATTCTATATTTTATTATACAGATTTCAAAATATAGTTAAGTAAGAATATTTTTTAATTTGGATTAATTTAAAGCAGACTTCTCTGATAGTATACACGAGTCTGTCGACTAAAAAACTCGTTACACAGAATACAAAACCGTAGACTATAAATAACGTCGAATCTTAAAATAAAATGTTTTACGAGGCAATAATAATGTCGATAAAGCTATACAAGTGTTGGTTTGATATAATTATCTTTCGGTGTAACACAATGTATTTTCTTCCTCAATTAGGTTTTTTATCTGCGCCAAATTCGTTACTCACTTTTGTTTATTACAATTTTTTTTGCTTTAATTTGTTGACGCGATTTCGGAAGTACATTTGGACCTTGGTATAGCTTTAATGATAACGGTTCGTGAGACGCGGACATAATATACATACTATTGAGTTCAAAGTTCGGTTCGGTTATTATAAATGGAAACTAAACAATCTTTAAGTTGGAACACTGTGGAACAGATTTGCATACGGTGAATAATAACGTCGTTAGGATGACTTAGATAAGGCACATGGGACTGGCTGTTGGTAGAGAAAATTAGCAAACAGATTCACAAATTTGAGACCAACACCGAAAAGTCTAGACCCTATGATTCCAGCTTATCATTTGGAATACAAAAATAGAATAAAACAGTGCCGCTACAACCTCTTTAGGTCTTGGCCTCAGACTTCTGAATCTGTTTCATGATCATATTTAAATCTAATAACAAGTAGGTGATCAGCCTCCAGTGACTGACACACGCCGTCGACTTTTTGGGTCTAAGACATGTCGGTTTCCTCACGATGTTTTCCTTCAAGTTCGAGCAAATGTTAAATGCGCACATAGAAAGAAAGTCCATTGGTGCACAGCCGGGGATCGAACCTACAACCTCTGGTATGAGAGTCGCACGCTGAAGCCACAAGGCCAACACTGCTCAATTTGGAATAAATTCATACATATATATTTATAGCAATACATAAATCGGCTCTATTTTCAGACGCAATTATATTTAAAAACGAAATATTATTTTCCAGAAAGTGAAAGTAAAATACGTAATTAGTTTTTCATGAGAAACCATTAAAATAACCTAAGTCCTACCTCCATTTATGAAATTCCTTTAAAGATTATTTACGTTTCCAATTAAAAACCCACGCTGGAAATGTAATAAGTAACAACCCACAACATTCTCTGCTTAATAAAGCAAGAGATTCGCAACCCTGAGGTAGTGGATTCTGTCATACATAACCAGAAACACACAGAAAACAAAGGTGAGACTGACGTATATCATAATCCAATACGTTTACATACTTGTCATAGTTCGTGCCTCATCTCATCGCCTAGTCTCGACTTTTAGATTTTAAAATCGACACGTGATAAACATGTGGCTATAAAGACGAAATATGATTGAATACCCCTGGATGTTCCTATCATGTTTAGAAAAAAAGTCTTATGCAATACCAATATTTTAACGTGAAAGCATAAATAAACCTTTTAAAATACAAAGGAAGATCATTTTAACCATTTCTCCTTAAGCCACCCCTTGTTTTACTTCCGGTATTAAAATATAAGGAAAGTCCCTCTGAATTAAGGAATATAATATAAATTGTATTTCTTATGCTAATAAAAATAAATACTGATGATGTTTTTATTCTTTCCTTTCTTTTTTTGACATCTAATGTCCAGTTCACGAGTCAGAAAGTGATCAATTTTACCATTAAGCGTCGTCATATCAAAATAGATCCTTTTTATTTACAATCTGTAGTTAAGCGTTGACTCTTTGAAACGGTCTACCAGATCTATTGTGTGACATTTGTTATCTGTGTTCTTTATTCTGTTATTTCTGGTTCTATTCGCTCAACGAAACCAAATTTTTTAAATTTGTTTTAATTTTCTATTTATTAATTTTTAATTATTATTATTACTAGGTTAAGAAAATTGTACAAAGTAGTAAATATTATAAAATATCTTTAATGAATTAAAGAAATTCTGTTAAGAATTATAACTGTATACTATAATATATTAATATAGATCACTATATATCTTGAATTAGTCTCAATCGGATATTTTGATGTACATATTTAATCTACCCTGCGAGATAATAATAAATAAAAAACACGAATACAAATGTATATGTTACTGTAAAAGCTCGAACTGCAGTAAATCCTAAGATATTCCAGTAAAACCTAAGATCTACCAATTCCTAATGGTAAATGTCCTAAAAGGTTTACTCTTACCACCATTCCGTTGGTAAATCTTAGGATTTACATTAATGGCACGATAAATGTTGAAAAACAAAAATAATTATTAAGTTAGACTAGCTTATGTAAGCATTATGTTTGTATTTCGTTGTTAAATTCCAAATAGAGAACTACTGATTCAGTTAGATAGATATGATAGAGATTGAGATATTCAGAGATATACGTTATGTGTTTGTTCAAAATAATTTAAATAAGTTGGTATTAGTTTGTACTTATTACTATCATATGATACCTTTATAATACTATGTACCTGTTTTGTCTAATAGTACATTAAAGTAAATAATTAAGAATTACTCATTGTTTTATTCCTAAAACCAACATCTACCAGCTGACAGTGGTAAAACCTAGCATATACCGAATTCGAATGGTAAAAGCTCGAAAAAATCGTCGTATTTTCAGAAATACTCACATTTACCAACTCATGTCGGTAAATCCTAAGACTTACACTTAAATCTTAAGATCAACCGTAGTTCGAACTTTTACAGTATCATATACATTAAATGGGTATTTTAATTGATTTTATGGGTTCCAGCTTGTTAGTTCGAGCTTTTCAAGAAATGTTTGGTTTTACACGTTTAGTCGATTAGCGGAATTGTCAAGACGCTGCGGGTAGTCGCTATTTTCCCATTAATCTTTCCTTTTATGTATTGAATAAAGAAAATATGGAAAATATATTTCATAGAACCCGCTAAGCTGTGTTTTACAATGAAACTTAGGTACTATATATATACCTATTTTCTCTTCTATATTTTCTGTATGTAAAATAAATACATTAATAAATTAATGTTTCATCACGTTTCTTTATTCTTAAACTGTCAATTGTTCATAAATTAATTAAAAGGCTAGGTAAGGTTTTATGAGTGAGAGAGAACTAAGAAAAAATTTATGAACTTGTCATCACGATATTTACAAGATTTACACATTTCGCACACATTACGCAATCGATGATGTGTTGTCATCCTATGATTTCATGTAAAAATAATTTTTCCATAGATAATAATATGGAGGTCCGTTCTGTAAAACTACTTATTACTTCTCTTATTGATAATATTGACATAGTAGAGTCATTTGTCATTTTAAACTATGTTATAAATGTCAAATTTCTTTTTTATTAAATTTGTATTTGATAGATTTTTACTCACGCATCACGCCTGGTACGTTCATCCCAAAACTTCTCCCAAAATGAGGAGCGGTTTCTAAAACGCAAAAAGCTGGTGCTAAGGGTCCTTGGCAAGGTGCTGCTGCCAGCCCCGACCCCAGTGGCCATACTGTGTTCCGAAGCTGAACTTTTTGCGATAAACCCGCTCCCAGCCCCCAAACCAACAGATTGGGACCCCGAACGATGCATCATGTATCCCTTTATCCCAAACTACATTTCTCACTTTGAATGTAATTAAACCGATCACAACGTTTTAATTAACTTTCACTTTGTATCGCGTTAAGCCAATGTCAACGCGATTTAAATTATCGTACAAGCAATTTATTTTAATTCAAATTTTTCTTAGCACGTCTATTTTGGCTGTCGACTTCAGTATTTTAATACGCACCACTATAGATAAGAATTATAACACGCTATTAATCAGTTAAATCCTTTATATATTTAGAATCGGTAGGCCGAGATAGGCTTAAAATACTATAAAAAAACTTATATTGTAAACATATTGAAATAGCAAAACAGGGCCAACTCGTTGAACCAGTGCGTGACCTCCGTGTCCAACACACCCGATACCGCACGTTTCATAGAAATAGTAAATAGAAATCACTTCACGTTCTTACACAAGAGTCGAAAATAACATTAGATTAGAGCTAGAAAGTCACATCTTAGCGGGGGTTTTTGTTTGTGCGGGGTTTTGAGCGCGGCGGAGCGCTGTGAACGGTGCCGGATCATAAGCCGTGCCGTCGGCGCGCCGCGCGGACTGTCAATGGAGCTGACGAGCCGCGGGCGAGAGCTGGGAAATCTTGCATCCTTCTCGCACACGTGGCGGCCGCCGAAAGCACCCGACTACGCACGAAGATAATTTTGGCGCTAATGGAAACTGGCAGCGGTGGGCGGTAATCAATGCTACGTGGAAATTGAGAGCCAGGAGAGCATTGTCAAGTTGAATTTTAAATCCAGGTGGGAAAATACGCTTCCTATGTAGGAAATCAACTAGTATCGGAAAGGTTACTTTACCTACAGCTTATAACCCGTAATTTATAAGAAATAGAAAATAACTATTTATCGGTTACTTTCTTTACGATATTGATGCGTTTGAACCCTATTTCGTTTTACGCTAAATAGAAAATTAATGTTTAAAGAACTTTATTTCTCATTACAAAAAATTTTTTTTTTTTTACAAGAGAAACTTAAACTTAAATATATACGAATGAGATACACGTCGCCATCAGCCGTCCCCATTTTAGTCTACTAGGCTCATTTTGATATGTAACCTTAATGCCCTTTTGAATTGGTTAAACGCGCTAATATAACGAAATTAAGAAATAAAAAAGGTTCTATCTAAGTCCGGAAAGCAGTATGGATCAATAAGGAAAATAATTACCTATACCTATATTTGTATATGTTAAAGGGCATTCAAACTTCAAAGAGTCGATATTTAACCGTCAGTTGCTGAATTTAATTATCTCGCTTGTAAACCAGACAACCAAACAAACATTGATTTATCGGGACGCGTCTACAAATTACTAAAGCGTTTTATAGACTCATAATTACAAAATAAATTAGCACATTTGCTTCACAAAGTTGGCAAATTGCTAAGCTATAAAATGGTCGATTAAAATTGACTCCGCAACGGAAAATTTCAATAACATGCTTCATACTTACCACGTAGAGCGAGCTAAGTATTAAACGCATAGCAAACAATCACACGAAAGCGCTTCAAAAGCGTGATGTACTAGATGCGCATTTGTTTTACGTTTTACTGCGTGCATACGAAATCACCACAGAGCGGCAAACGCTTGTACGCTGAAAACGATAGTATAGCGCGCCTAGTACGCTAGCGAACACTACTCGAAAGCAAAACTCATTGACGTAACATGCAAATAAAGCGTTGGAAAATACATACGCTCTATCCAGTTGTGCTGCCACATCCACATCCTTGAATCTGTAAGCAATTAAAACATTGGGAGAGAAAGATAGAACACGGGCTGTTGGATGTATTGCATGTTCATTTCTGGTGCGAGTCTACAGTAATGCAGCACATTTGCGTTTGTGTCAGTGTTTAGAGGCAGTTGTGATAAACGTATATCTAAAGTACGAGTCAATCTCAAATGATTTAGTATCCACGAAACTTTGACTAAATTTTAACATAACATTTGTCTCACTGTAAACTCACACTAGGCCCTCAGTACCCTTCACAATCTCGAGTGGATGTGAGATAACAGTCCTTTGAAATAACCGGACATGCATTCTCCAATAAGTCAGCTCTTATTAAACGCGCTGGTATTTAAATTAATCTAGATACCTCCACTTTTATCGTAACTATAAGGTAACGTACATGCCAAAAATCTTGGGGATACTATATGCTGTATGACAGATACTATCGAGTACTCGATACGGTATATCTCGATTTATGGCAGACGATTCTTTTACGTCAAATATGTGTATAACTTTTAAGTTGCATGCTGTATGGTAGAGAAACCGTAGACTAGTGTTTTCCAACCTTTTTTGTGTCATAATAAAATTCCTATACCCAATCTGGCACATATTTAAAAAAAATAGGGTGCGTGTACTTATGTACGCGCGTAAGAAGTTATACTTCTTTGGCATAATTAAAAACAGTTTTTGATTGCATGCGAATAATTAATTACAATTAAATAATCAAAGACTGGAAAAGCAGTCATTATAGTCAATAAACTTCAGTTTACATTTGAAAAATTAAATAAATAAATATTTATTATCATCTCTTACATTAAGTGAAACATAGATTCTATTATTATTCGAATGTTGTTTTTAAATTATGTCCAATGCCGTAGCATCTTCCGTGGGCAACTTCATTCTGTTAATTTTGTGTCACGGTGCGCGCGCATCGTAAAATTTCACTCTCACATATTTTTGATAACGCGCCTTAAGAAGTATAACTTCAAAAATTGAATTATACCAAAATTACTAGGAAATTATTAACAAAACACAGTGAGTTAAAACAATGAAAAACTGAAATTTAAATTCCAAATAATTTTAATAAATTTTCGAATAGCTAAATAACAATCAAATTTTCTCCGGCGTGGGCCCAACGTTGGTAAACACTGCTGTAGACTCAATGCTCTTAACACCGAAGCGAAACCCTGTTTTTGATGTAAAGCGTAAAATATCCATGTTCAGATGTGACTCTAAGTGCGGAGTACTGTGGTAGTCGGTGATGGCAATAGCATGGATTTAATATTGAGAACATTGAGCGTGTCCAATAACCCCGACGACTTCCTAACACAAACAACTAGACGTCACAAAAGGATCATACCAAACATTTATAATTAGAAGGCATCCATTAATTACGTGTGTCTTTGAATTAAGACCCTGTTCCTAACTGAGATTTAGTGGGATTTAGTGAAACGCCCACATTTAAGCGGGATTTAGAAGGGTGTCAAGATTAGCGAGTTGTAAAATAAATAAAATTCTTTTTTCCTGAATCCTGACAAGAGTCGGACTTAAAACAAAAGACGACGCATTTCGTTTGATTCTAATTGGTCGGATCGAGTCGCTAGTCTGTGATTGGAATTTGTTGACATAAAATGAAATACGCCATCATTTGTTTTACTCTCATTTATAATTTATGCTATTTTAAATTAAGAATTGTTTTTGGTTCGTAGTAAATGAACGCCTTCTTACATGCTATCGCCACAATTGTGAGTAAGCTTTCTACTTGTTAGTCAAACACAACATTAACACTGGTGAGTTAAGCTTTTCGTAGACGCTTGCTTTCTGTGGTTGTTTGGTGTGTGTAGAATCTTATTACGAAGATTTTGTAAATTTTATCATTGAGTTGAATAACTTTACTATTCTGAACACAAAACCTCACTAGTTTGTAAAAATTTAAATTGCAAACACACATAAACGTTTATGTCGTTGGTCATACTATAAATTGTGTAGTAAATATATACATATATAATAAATATCACGTACATTGCTCTACTTATTGTGTATAATATAATAATAATACTATTTGTCGTTACACAATAAAATCTATAAACAATTTTAATTTCAATGATCAGCAATATATAACCTCTAAATATTTTATTTCGTTCTAAGTAAAGCCAAGTTTATATATAATGAATTTTTATTCAGTTATCCTTTAAGAAATGAGTTCTAAAATAAACAAAGAATCCTTCATTGTTTCGAAAGTTATTTTAAAGGAACTTTAACATTAAATAATTTTGTTATTTTAATAACATTAAGAATCCGATTCATTAAGATGTCTCGACAGGTTACGAAGAACCCTTAAACCGACATCTTAGGAATATCGATTTTACTCAAGTCGACATTTCAAACCTTTGTCGTCCATTCGGTTTCCGTACACTGAGTACTGAAATTATATGAAAAATATTTTAAGCTGTAAAACCAAATTATTACGGAAAAATCCTTTTGTATGAGCGAAGTAAGAATATGTATTCTATATTATGGTATTGCAAGTACAAAATACATGAGAGAAAGAATGTATTGAGAGGGAGATTGTACTATTGCTCAATCAACTTTTGGCCATGGCTAGACGCTACGTCGGCTCGCAAAGAACACAAAAGAGTTGTAGAAATATATATTACATACAATCTAATAGTTAAAGAAAAATATCACAAATGATAATTTAATGTTTGTTTAGTCTGATAAAGCTACTCAAAATCTTTGTCCGAGTTTTAAAAACACATATATGAAAATACATACAATCTAACAGTTAATTAAATATATCACAAAGGAATATTTGCATGGAAAATTTAATGCTTATTCCAGCCGATAATGATACTCAAAATCTGTGTCCGAATTTTAAATTAACTATAATTCTTTCATCTTGAAATTATCTTTAAAAATCACTGTTATATATGTCACAATTCAATTAGTATCTCAGTATTCCAGCAACTCTAACTATAAGAGTATGTTTCAACTTTGTCTTTGATATAAACTTTCAAAGTTAAAATCGAATAAACAAGGTAACATTTTCTTCTTTCAACTTTCACAAATTACGCTGATATTATTGATCTTAACAGGGTTCCTAGTACTTTTTTAATACAACGATGCAATTTTATATAATTTCGCTCTGTTTTAGTAATACTTAAATAATTACATATTAATTAGTGTGAAATTATAATTTTTTTTTACAAAAGGTAAGTAGATTTTGCTACAAAACTCTTTTCAATTCGCCCTGATGCTGACGCCCTATATTTTTGAGATTAACCCGCACTTTAAAAAAGCCCTTACATCGTAAAGGTCACTACTATAGTTACATATGCTATTACATATGGCAGGATTCAGTACATCTTATATATGCATAGAAACTCAAACCACTTTAGTTAGTACCTCACGTGGTTCTACAAAGAAGTTTTACATAAAAAAATTTTTTAATTATTATTTAACCAATTTTGAATTTAATGAAATAATTTTGAAATTTGCGTTAATAATGAATAAGTATATATAAGAGAAAATGATGTCCGAATATTACAAGAATAACGAAACGAATAATTAAAGAATAACGTTTCATAATATGAATTTAGGACAATCATATTATTTATAAACATTATGTACTTGCAGGGGAATTATATATGTAAGTGTATCGTTATTTCGCAATATGTTAAGTTATTACATATTTCGCCAGCTTTACCCACGAAAGGATATAAGAAATTCCTGGCGAAAATCGGTATTTTTACTTAAATAGAAACTGTTATAATTAATAAATTTTGGAAGTACAATGTATACAAGAATGTATAGTGTTCGAATAGTTCGAAAATACTCTTGAGACAAAAATACTGCGCACGCTTATTAAATTTTTCGTAAGAATTAAAAAGCCTAGTAAAACTTTATTGGTAGGCTTTATATTTATGTGTAATGTCTACGTAAGATACTGTTATTAAACAGTTTATGTGCTGGTTATCTTTCATATTAGGTGATAAAGTAATTGTATTTTAGCAGGTATGTTGTAGATTTGTAATTGTATTGATTTATATGTAAAATTTAAACATAATTATCATATAACAGCTGCAATTTCTTCACTTCTCTCGTCTTTGCGGTCACTAGAATACAGTTCAGGAAGACACAGGCCAATATTTATACGTATAAAATTGTAAATGTTATATATATTATTATTTATAAATTTACACCTGATTGAGAAATTTTAACTTTTAAAAGAATCAATTATAAATTTAGAAGCACAGCACAAAACCGATTTGAAATTGCATCTTTAAACCATTTTGATAACTCACCTTTCGCTGGCAATGGAGCTGTTACGTGACATGGATTTGGGTGACATTTCGAAGTCGGAGTCAGATCGGTAGAGGAAGGATTCGCGGCGCTGCGGCAGTGACTGTAGCACGAGGGCGGCGGACGGCGAGCCGCCCTCGAGCGGAGATCGCGCGCCGCCCGCAACACCGCCCGCCCCACCATTCTCCACATCGAAGCTGAAACAAAGCGTTATTTATAAATTTATAGTCGTTTACACATACATTATTTTAATAATATCATAATCAATATCAAATATTAATGTTGTTAATAATAGTAATTACACTATAATGCAACGGTGAAAAATAAAAATTATATATTTTTTTTGGTTCGCGCTGTACAAAAGTTTGCCACGTTAATATTATGTGCACTATACACATAGGTAACAAATGACGTCTGTATTGAATATCTGAGTATGTAGACACGGAGCCGTATCGATTTGTGAGAAGTCACAATTTATAATTGCTCCCGAAGCGACGTTGTTTCACAATAGGAAGTGATATCGCCTAAAGCAGAACAAGCTCATTAAAACATTGCATGAAACTTTTTAATTGTATTCATAAATCCATTTTAATAAAGATAAAAATTTGTTTGTATTAATTATTTTTATTTTATCCATCGCTGCAATTCTTGTTGAAGTGAAATAGGCGCATCAGTGTAAAATTTTTAAGAAACGTCACGAATATGTACAGCATTTTTGTCGAAGAAAAGGGAGAGAGCGATTGAGACCGATTGAGAGAGAGTGAGAAGGGTGAATTTATGAAATATTAGTGTATTATATTTTATGCAAAATAATTTAATCTCAAATGACGAACTGTAAATTAAAATGCCACGTGTTTTTATTATCGAAGAAATAAATTTAAAAAAATAAATTTATTATTTGTATTAATTTTCGACACTTTTAATATTTAATGACTATTAAATTCCTAACATATCTTCCTTTTTCCCTCCCTCAAAGTCTCGGAAATCTAACGTTTTAGATTTGTATAAATATGAGCAAGAGTTAAAAATTAGTTTGTCAAAGAAGTTGTTTCACTGGTGACATGTGTACTTTGTACGCAAGCACTTTTTTGATTTTCAAGGCTAAATGATCAGTCCTCTGTGACTGATAAACATATCTTGAGTCATATGAGGAGATCAGGTGCTTGTTCCATCGAGCAGTAAGCTCACCTGACGCAAATAATGCCGCTGATGACCATCACATTGCCAGAAGCCTTGTCGCCTTTTTACGAATTAGTACACTCTTTCTCTACTTCTATTTGACTCTACGTAAAATTTGTTCGCAATATACTATACTACAATATAGTGGTGGAGCGCGGCCAAAAGTGCCTTAGTCGCCACAACAGTCAGTGGTGAAATAACAAAAGTCGAGGTAATAAGATCGATACATCTTTCTACAAAGCTTTTGGTGCTTTCATCAATAGAATGATTGAAGACCAAACATTGCTATCAATTACTACATAGGGTAAAACTTCTTCCCCGACCTATACGCGTATATCGTTTTTTACTATGAGCCTGTGCCAAAACTTGTAGCGCGAGTAATAACAAGTATTGAATAAAACAGTCTGTTCAACTGAAGTTGATGGTTTAAAATACCTAGCGACATCTGCTAGACACTTTCAGAACATCCATCTCATTTTGTGTCTAGTTAGAGTTTTCCATAAAGTTGTAAAGATTTCCCGGTAGATGTCGTTGTTGACGGAAATAGTAATATGCAATAAATTTAAATTGTAATTCAAATGTTTTATGCTAGAATTTAAAAATTTTGAAACGGGTCTTTTATAGCATCAAAATTGTAGTGATCGTAATTTTTTAAAATAAAATATAAGTATTATTTTTGCGTTCTACCGTGGTTGTACAAATGTAAAAATGTTCTAGTGGGGTAAAAATATATTTATTGATTAAAACCTTTTTTAAATATAGCTTTTAAGAGGTACATAAATTCAAAAGGTATGGTTTTAAATTTTATTCATTTTTCGGAGACAAAAAATAAAATAAAATACTACACTAATAAGCTCATTAAAATAATTAATTGCTATGATTATTGTACTTTTTTCTTCACCCATCTGCAATCAGCCTCTTGCCTTTTATCAGATTTTATTACTTTGATTAGATGATTTGAGGCAATTAAATGCAAATCCAACAATTTGTTTTCCCTCCGTAACTCGCAAACTGTCAAACTACGGCAAGTCTAGTTATTTCTATGAATTAATTACTCGTTTGAAGTGAGTTGATGTATATTGTCTTAGCCAATTTAATCCTTAATAACGGAATAACCTCTCGGGATGTCTTTCTGAAACAATAGTTTAATACCAAAATACGCTGTTTGGGAAACTAAGTAAGGCAGCAATTACATATATAGAATTTCAGGCATCAATTACGACGAAAATGCGTTGGCGAAGTAACGGAAAATACCCTTCTGCGCCCTTTAACGTTCGATTTGAAACCTATTTTATAATAGGAGGTTCAAAATTTCTCGAATTTTTTATGCTTAAACCCTGATTGCTCGAAGGCGACTAAACCGATATTTGTAGTTCAAAGGGAATGTTAAGAAAATTAAATGGAAATCTGATTTTTTTATTTATTTGCTCCAATTTGATCCAAAGAATAACATTGTACACAAAAGCCAAAAACGGAATACATAATATTCAAATATAAATAAAGCACAGTTTCACCTATATATATACAAAAAATATAACAAAGTATATACATATGTATTTATAATAAATTATAAATTCTAAGTTCTAAGATTCATTGATCATTATAATCTATTAATATAAAGGAAGAATAACAAAGTCATTATTAATAAAAGATAGGTACCAGACTTTTTTAAATTATTTTTTAGTTACATTAAATATATCTATTTGCTGGTAATTTGTGTTATAAGTTAAGGTATACGATACATGACTGAGTTACGTAAATGTTATTAGTATTAGATTATTTGATTGGATTTTGAAATAGTTGGGTTTGCCTTGTATTGTATGAAATAGTAAAAGCGATTTTTTGGTGAATACCACAGTTTTGGTTTCCATGTCTTTTAACGTAAAATCTTTAAAGAGTCAATTTATAAATCATATATCAAAGTAGTATCAATTTTATAAAAGTAATTGACATGGTCGGATACTCGAGTTATCCTAATATTCAAGGATACAGAGTACAAAGGCGATTAAAGTCGCCCAAAACTTTCAAAGTTCAAGTGTACATGTTCATGTAACGGACAAACGGGGGTGACGAATCGATTTTTACCTTTTTGAAGACATGCAATGCACAAACGCGTTACAATCCAATCAAAACCAGACCAACTCACAAACCATTAGCGCTACAACATTTTAAACTCTGGGCTTCAGATATTTGTATCGTGTATATTTTTTAATAGGGAAGTAGGTATTCAGCCTTCTGTGCCTGACACACCGTCGACATTTGACTCTGACGGTGGTTTCCTTAGCGTACTATTTATACGTGAATTTACTGCTTTTAGAAATATTTTAATTGAAGATTAAAATAAAAGAAAAACAGTGGTGTGATATTTGTTTAAGAATGACTCTGCTCGGTATATTCATGCGTCTTGCCTTTGCTTACCAATAAAGCTATATTTAATGTAACTAAAATTTTTTTAAAAGATAATTTAAAAAACTCTGGTATCTTTTATTATTCTTCCTTTATATTAAATATATATTATAATGATCAATAAATCTTAGAATTTATTAGAAATACATATATACTTTGTTATATTTTTTGTATATATAGGTGAAACTGTGCTTTGTTTATGTTTGAATGTGTATTCCGTTTTTGGCTTTTGTGTACAATGTAATTGTATGGATATTGTTTAGTGAGTAGCTGTAGGAATACTGTTCAGCAAATAAATAAATAAATTTGACGAATACTTAAATGATCCTAATCCTTAGGATTGATTTGCTCCAGTTCAAACAATTTATAAGACTCAAAATTTGGCGATTAAAAAGAGTGGCTGAAAGTTTCTTGCCAGTTCTTCTTGTCCGCTATTCGCCCTTGACTTGCGAACTGGTAGTAAATGTAAATTTACAATTCATTTAACTTTTTTTTGACGTCCATAAGTGTACTTGTTAACCTATATGAATAAAGATAGTTTGAGTTTGAGTACCAAACGTATTCTACACTGTACTGTGCCGTGTGTGAGCGCATATAGACAGAAAGTCCATGCACAGCCGGGCTTCGAACCTACGACCACAGGAATGAGCGTCGCACGCTGAATCCACTAGGCCAACAGCTCAAGGCGAAACACATTTTAAAATAGTAATCACGAGGAGTCGTGCGTATGATTATGCCAATTATCATTAATTTCTCATAACTACTATTAAGGGGCCTTACGTCACAGACAATGATGATTATCAAGGTTTATGTGCTAACACAGCCGGGCCAATTTCATTCTATTTTTATCACATAATTGCACGAATAACTCTTCAACACCTAATTTGTTTGAAGATTCTATTTTTAAATCAGTCTAAAATAACACTTGTTACTAATTCTTAATTATAAAGTTCAAAGGGTTATTTCTGTTATTAATGTAGCAGTAGCATGGTCTATTTTAACTAGAGTTTAAATGTGAAGCTTATGAACGCGTCTAGAATTAATAAAGCAGAGATAAATTTATTTTATTTCTAAAAGGCTATGGAATTGAAGAAAATTGCCGCGGTCATTCAACTTTTATTTCAAAGGTCATTAACCTATAGATGTATTCTATCAGCTGTACGAAGTAAATACTCATGTCATACGTGGTTTCTGTTCCAAAGATTTGCAATGTTAAGATTAAAACAGCCTATTAATAGTATATGAAATTGTACTTTAAAATTTAACAATATCTTTACACCTATATTTCTGCAATATAACCTATTAGTACTGTACTTTTATTTAAGGACCTATCCTATCGCCAAACTCCAAAAAAGTACATTGTTTCTTTCCATTTTGCGTCATCGTTTCTTGAAGTAGGGCGAATGGAAAAAATATATGGTGGAGTTGAGTAGTTTATGTATCCATTTTAAAAGACCGATACACGATTTAAATAACTTCGCTCGATAGAAAAAAAATCCAAACATAGCCAATTTTTAACACTTTGAATTCATTTTATGACGAAAATGTATATAGAACATAATTTTGAAATTTACACGATGTATTTAATCGCAAGCCAAGTAATACATTTCAGAAAAAAAAATGATAAAATTACATAAATTTAATGTTTTACATAACTAATTGTTATTACGGGCCGACGCGACGCGCCTCTCCACTGCGCACCGCAGTCCACCCCGAGACACTGACACAGCAATTCGTGCTGGGATAGGGCCTTAAATGTACGCAAAGACAATAATAAATATATTTCTGGAAGGAGACCTTGATTCCACTTTACAATCTCACAAAAATGTTTTGGAAATAAAATATTAAAAAGAAGTTATAAAAAAATGTACTTGAAAATGGAAAATTAGATTTTTCACTAAATTCACGATAGAAACAACTTGGTGATAATATAATTGTGAATTATCGAGCATAGTGTCTTTTAGATTTAAAATTACAGCTACAAGCGCGCCAAAATCTCGGTCACCGATGACAAATCATTATGCAAGTCTAACTAAATCTAAAAAATACATAACAATAAATGTATATAATGTAAATATTTAGTATTAAGATTAATTAAAAGCTCATCACTTGAGTTAACGCCTGATAGAGAGTAGCCTTGACCACAGATCTGGTGCATTCCTCGATCAGGAAATACTGGCATCATTAAGGTAGTATAACTTCGCTACACACGTTGTAATTTGTTTATTTCCAATTTATAGTTAAAAAAATTGGAAATAAACAAACAAAAGTTTTTTAGTTAACTTAGCTGTTCACTTAGGTAAAGAATTTCGTAAATTAAAGAATTATAGTATTCTAGCTAGTCTCATTATAGATAAACTATTAATTTAAGCATATTTTTTTTATGCAACAGGGCCAAAGGGGCAGAAGGCTCACCGCATGTTAAGTGATACCATGCCCATTGACACTTACATTGCCAGGAGGCTCGCAAGTGCGTCGCCGGCCTTTTGAGAAATGGTACGCTCTTTTCATGCTCGCCCTTGTATGTACTTTTTGTATAATATTTTACGAGTACAAACTTAATTTTATAGCCTTAAAACTAAGACAGAGAATTTTATAAAATCTTGTTATAACATTGGCTGATCTGAGGTGTTACATTTTAAATATTATGATGAATTCAACTCCTCAAGCACTTACTGAAAATCAGAGATAAAAAAGAAAAACAAATTAAAACATAAATTAATCTAACATTAATTACTTATTTTTTAAATATTTTTTTTAAAATAGATTACATATCGCATAAATAATTTAAATTTCCTCATTACTACATCTGCCATCATCATCATTATATACCTGCCAGTAGTCCGTCTCCTGGCGGATACAGGCTGTCTTCTAAGTGGCCTACGAGATGCACCCCTGGCACTCCAGCGCCGTGGCGCTTCACTCCACCTAAACCCAATTACCTCATGACCACCACTAGTCCTTGTGTATATAAAAGTGTTTATTTGTTGTGTGTTTTGTTGAAAACGCAATATTAATTGCAAAAATGCAATTCCAATTATCTTTGTCTTCATTTTTGTTGTGACATCTCAATTCTCATCTAGACTACAGCACATCTTACCGTATTAATCATTTATTTTGATTTATTGTAGATTTTATAGTTATGTCTGTGTTTTAAATAATATTTTCTTTAATAAACCCATCTTAATTTTACAAAAACGTACAGATCGTCTTTATCCAAGCATTATACAGCGCCTATATTAATTTTTACATACGAGTATTATGTAGTCCAATTGTCGAGACAAAACAAGTCAGACGTAAAATGTTTCGACAGATTACATATTCAGACTGTCAAGAGTACAAAGAAAAAATGCGATTTGCTGCATATTGCGAAATATATTGGAACAACTTGTCACCAAATTGATACCACAATTGCTAAGATTATTATTTAAAAAAAAATTATATATTTTTGGTCCTTTCTGTAGATCGTGGAACATTTTACCTAATTGATAATTGAATTGCTGGTAGATTAATCATAAATTAATAACTCTGAATTTAATTTAAAACACTATTATTTAATTTGATAATAAAACAATTTTTTACCGGATTGAAGTTTCAACAATTATTTTTCATAATCTTAAATTTTACCGACAATTTGCGTGCTTTACAGCGTGCGTGGTCACGGTTTACCACGAAAATATAGGACACCGTGAGCCATTTCTGCCAAAACCCTCCATCTTTTAGTCGACACCAACTCCGGGGAAACAAATACAGACTGTAATACAACTTTTTCTACAGCTGTGATACTTTTTGACATTCAACACCTTTTGTCTTCAGTCACCGTGACCACGCACGCTGTAAAGCACGCGAAACGTCAGTTATGAAAAATAATTGTAAATACATAACTTCAATCCGGTAAAAAATTGTTTTATTATCAAATATTTCACATATTATGTCAATAAAAGACAATACTAGTATTATTTCATTTTAAAAACGAAAACATTATATAACTTATTAATAAACAAAAAGCTGGGAATGTTATACTTATAAACCATTTAAACATTAATTAAAAAGGCAATTAAGGCACATCATACATCGTGTTTATACTCTTTTGATATAAGAGGAATGCTCGCTTCTCCAAATAACATTAGATATGACGGAGAATGTTTCCGGGAAATTACTTATTAGTTATTAAAGCTGCTAATAGAATGCTCTCCCTATTATGAGTAAGATCAATCGGGGCTTTTATATTATACTAGCTGTTGGACACCACATGTATGTTACTAAAATACTTGGTACGTATTTAGTAGTGGGATTACAAGTCTAATTACCAAAGATACAGCAAGATAGGAAACAGCAAGATGACAGGTTCCTTAAAAAGATCTGTTATAGAATGTTTCGCTTAGATTTGTTCTTCTTTACTTAAACGTTTATTTTTAAGTATCGCCATAGAGCGAGGAAATATTGCCAGCATTAAAGGTACACTGCCACAGAGACTAAACTATTTAAATCTTTTTTAATTTTCGATTATATCATTATTTACACTTCTTTGCAATACAAAAAAATCATTTAACATAAAAGTCGGTGTATACGATGAATGCAAGAGGCTTTATCGTTTATAAACTCTTCCAAGCCTACCCCACTAAAGTAACATATACAGTTGCAAAAAAAAGAGTTTTATTTGTTTAACATAATAATAAACATATTATAAACGTTGTTTAGGTATCAATTTTTATTCCATCTGCAATACTTTTCCATCGTTGTCATATTTAAATTAATCTTGCTGTAGGTATAAATAAAATAAAAAAAGCCCGTAATTTTGCAGGACGCGGCTAATAACAAGCGGGGTGAGAATATAAAACGTCAAACTCGAATCGATCAATCGCGTGCAAGCGATTTGATCTCTCGCTTCTTCAAAAGGAATCGTGCAAAATTAAACAATTGCCGAAATCGTATCGACTAAAATATTTCAATGATATTTGGATACTGATTGAACATGACGATGCATGCATTGTATTTACTACAAAAAAACACTGGACTACAACCTTTCTAGGTCTGAGCCTCAGATTTCTGTATCTGTTTCATGATAATTTGCCTATACAGACAGACGGTGTCGACTTTTTTACCATAACCAAACGAAACATCCCATAGACATTCAATTGAAATGTTTCTTTTTCCACCCTCACTATTTGTACATTTTTAAAGGGTCAAAATATTTATCAAATAATTTTTTATTGTATCCTTTAGTATGTAACTGTTAGAACAACTACAGTACATAAAAGCTATAATACTGTCCATTAAGTACGTCAAAACTTTTTGCTTAATTAAAGACTTAGCAGCTTTTACCGCGTTAACTAAAGTTTCAGAATGAATTATGAAAATAAGATATTTAAGTTAAATGCTAATAAATACGTGTATAATCAAAATTTATAAATTAATATTTAAGTTGCTTTTTATGTATAAAACGAACATTATATACAATATTATTTTGTTGGTCGTGTGATAATATTATGATTTTTTAAATTGTATAAAAGTTTAAAAAAACAGCAAGTTAATTTTGGGTTCGACTCCCAGCTTAACAAAATAAAGCTACCCTTTGAACAGCCACCTACTTTAGGTTAAACACAGATGCAGAATTTTAATGACCCATGGGCCATGACCCACCGAGGAATATCTAAGCATTCTTTATTTATTCTATATAACCAGTACGCTTCGGCCTTGAAACTAATTATATGTAAATTTGACTTAAAATTAATAATTAGTCAATATTTTTTTATTAGATTTACACAAGTTTGATCAAGGTGGCAATTTTAATTAATTTTATTTTGGATTTTGTGAACTTCTAATTTCCAAAAGCTAGCCTAATAGGATCTCCTACACATTTATTATTCGGAATAAAAAACCAATCAGTAATATATTGTTATTCAATATTTTTAGTGCATTTTGTATAGGTTAAAATTTTTCTTGAAATTTGCAGAATTTCGCTCAAAAAGATATTTATGCTTTGCTATTGCGTGTCATTGAAAATAAAGTCATGATATTTGTGTTATAAAGACTAGATAATGGTGTAAGTGCTCGGCCTTGTGCAATCATCAACATCATTTAATCGTTGGCAGCCAATTTATGTGTACTCCAACAGCGAATATTTTATCTTCACATTTATCAAACCGTTAAAAGATGATTCGAAAATAATATTGTTTTAGCATTTTAATCCTAGATTATTTTTTAAATCATGTGATTAGATTCTTAAAGTCGCTCTATTACGAACAGAAAACTGTCAATTGTCAACCTGCATTAATTGAGCATTGTAAATATTTAATAATTCAGAATATATGATGACGTGTTAAAATAATTGGATACACAAATTCTTATGACAGAAAGGTTAAATAATTTTTATGACGTAGAGCTTATCTTGATATGAAATCAATCATATCAATCATACCGTCTATTTTTGTTTAGTTTTATAGTGTCAGACCATTGCCCTGAAACACGTGTCTAGTGTTTTTAACAATATCATATTTTTTATTATTACATTGTGCTGAAGTTTCCTGTCCGTCATATCAATATGGGTTTTTGACAAAATTTTGTCGAGTACACACAAATAAGTACACACAAAATGTTCCTATTATATCAAGAGTGTTATGTATTGTTTGTGTTTGTGTATGTGGTGGACCTTTTAGAGTGATCCCCGCTACTGGTTTGACTAGAACTAGTGGTGGTCGTGCTGAGGGTTGACAAGTCACTTGACGCGCGAGCTGATCGCAGCCGCGGCAACACCGGAACATCTTCAGTCTCAGGAGAAGTCACCAGGGGCTCGCACGGCCAGCCGAACGCGCGCGCCGCCGACCATACCGCGAACACAAACGTTATCATGTCTATCCCACCCGCCACACACGGCCCACCCTCACACGCCACATTTCAACTTTAAAACGTCATTCACGCGGAACTATCGCGCCGACCGCGCATTCGCAGGCATGAAGAACACGTGCTAGTCAGACAGCACACAACCGCGACCGCCACTCAACTGACCATTACAACGCGTGAATTTAAAGATATATCACATCATCGCAGTGTTTTGTTATTAAAATTGGGTCACATAGATCGATCGACTCGCGTTCTTCCATCAATGGAGATAGTTTCTTTAATCGAGGCGCGTGTTGTTGATTGTATTCGTGACGCGGTACTGTTGATGTTAGGCGGCCGGCGGGTTGCGTCTTTGCGGTACGTCACGCCGATTCCGCCCGCGCCGCCAAGAGGCTGCTTCTATTTATTAAGCACTATATGCTTCTATTGTGAAAGAGTGAGCGTTATTTTGTAATGTCACTTGTTGCACGGTTAAGTCTGTGGACGCGCGGCGCACGATATAGGCCGAGGACGCGTACGATAACTTTCCGGAAGGTTGTGTCAAAGTATATAGCCCGTTGGGATATTGTGATAGCCGTGTTTCGTCAGGAGTAGCGTTACGGAGCATCCTGCGGCTGCCCGGCGGCCATATTTGTGCCGCCATTTTGCTGGGGGTCGAATGGGGTGAACCGCATGCGTACGTCGCTGCCACAGTTTACATCACAAAAGCAGTAGTGCAACAGTTCACGTGGAATTGATCGAGCCTAGAGAATTATTTTTTACAGAGTTCATAACAGAAAATATAAGCAAAATATCATTGCTTACTATGAAAAGCAGAGAACCATTGAATGAACTGTCTAATTCCTCAGATACTTTTATTGTTCTATAACAGTGACACTGTTCTGCTTATAAACTGTGCCAACACGCAACCTCCGTGTAGGAAACGACGCAAGTCACTTTATTCAAGAGATACAGTAGTACCTAGTACCCAGTCACTAGGATCAATTCTGCTCGGCAGATGCTTTAGTTTATAGGTCAACCGAGCAAAGTGAAGTTAGCTGCGAATCACGCCTGATTTCAGTTTTCGTAGTATGAAAGTGCTGTTAGCATATAGAACGAAATATACCTTTGTTTACTGACTGAAATTTTATCGACAGCTCTAGGGGTGTTTAAACTTTATAAGTAATGAGGTTTACACGGATATCATAAATGTAAATTTATTTTCTAAGCTAATTCTAAAATAATAATTACTTCCGGAAAGGTGTACGGGTTATTTTGTTTTATTCCAAATTCAAAATAAGGAAGGAAAACACTTGAAACGTTTCTCGAGGTCATATGCTACAGCGTCATGGAAGTTATTATCGATTTCCATATGATAATAGGTTGCAGCAACCGGAAATGCATCTTATACTGTATAAACAGAGGGCGTAATTAATATCGACGTTATTTACGATGATTATGTCTCTGTTAAATGGTTTATTCGAACGAAAGTTTCAATAAACGTCGGCTTTAGCCAAAATACGTCTGCAGCAGAGACACAAATGTGTCCTCCCAAGGCTACAGTAGTTTTCAAATTACTAGCTATTCCCTGTGGTTTCACACGCGTTAAGCGGTTCATAGAGTTTTTACTGAAGTGTTTCCGAACCAAATTTTTTTTTTCGTGGGGACATGCGTTACGCATACCCTTCCGCGGCATGGGCTGGTGGGGAAGGGTTATGTGGGACTCGCTGTTGTGCATACCCACTAAAACCCCACGGCGCCACCAGCAATCGCCCGGGGCAGGACACGGTAACAGCGTAGCCTTGTCCGCATCCAGCCACGCGATCAGCCGTTAATATTACGGTCCTCTACGGCCACGAATTATGTGGAATGGACCTTGGCACAGCAAGGGCTTTTCACATCGGCCAATTCATCCTATTTTATAGAGCTGGGGGAGGCCGGGTACAATGCTTGCCTTCTTTTGGACGCCCCTATTCCCCCGCTGGAGCAACTGCGTACACAGGATTACACACCGTATACATAACATGTGAGCCCGTTTGCACTGTTCTATCGAAAATAAATATTTTAAGAAGCGTGCATATACAATGCACGCGTAATACTTGTCGCGGAAGTATTTTAAAACGATATATCTTAGTATATTAATTGTTGTTGTATTTGTGATGAATAATAATTTGAATAGGAATTATTTTGATGTTTTTAATTTTTTAGCGTAAGTTTTAACTACAGTAAAAACATGCAGTCAATTCAAAGATTGACATATGTTGTTGTGGACTTTTACACATTTGTGTAATTTTAAGTTTAGTATAGTATTTTTGATATCATATTTTTTAGCAAATCACCTGTGTGGAAGAAATTGCTTGTGAACTAAACCGCCTATTAACTTTTCTACTTCATTTTTTTAACTGTTTGTAATATAATAAACTGTTTATTATTATTGTTTATTATTATTAGTAATTCCGTCGTTCATGTAGGGCACGCAACTATATTATTATCGAAGTAATAATGCGTTATATAATATATAAGTAATGTACGTAATCAATTTAAAAGATTATCGATTACGATACTGTCACTATAATGATTAATTATACCAGCACATGTATTAGTAGAAAATTTTAATCTAATCATCAGATATAGCAATTCAAAGTGATAAAGTGGATATAATTCCAGTTGGATTCTTAAACAAAACACTTTATAAATAATAAAAAGCATTTTGTTTTTCTTTCCTATTTTCTACCTAGACAAATTTTCAACAAGTCCTGATGCCTGTATGGACTTATGGTTGCCAGCTTTACCAGTAAGAGATTCCAAAACAAAGCGCTCAGGGGAATAGTCAATGCTCCCTGGTACATTCTCAATGACGACCTCTATCGGGACCTTAATGTACAGGATGTCAAAAGTCAAAAGTCAAAAACAATATCCGTAGTAAATTATGTTATTTTAAATTTAGTTATGTTGTTTCATTGTGTCTTTGTAGAGAGACAATTTATTAAAAAAAAGGTTTGTAGTTTAAACTCGACTAAGACGGATTAAAAAATACTTTCAGCATTTGAATGCCTGAGAAATAATGAATTTATTTTAATCAAGTTAACATAACAATTTTGATTATGTATACAAAATTTTTCTTATAATTTACACAGTTAACAAATCATTAAAAATGAAAAGATTTATACTAAGAATTTTGTATATTTTAAGTTGTACTGTAATAAATATATTAACATAACTTTGATTGTATGCTTCTTTAATATAACTTGTTTGTTAACCATAGAAACAACCTTCATTATGATATCAATTGAAAAACCTGTAGCCAATGTCAACAATTTTAGTAAGAACTTTTAATTTTAGTCCCCTTTGGAGTAGAGACTTGGGCCGTGGGATTGATGTTTCCAGTATATATATGCTAGGTAGAGTAAGGACATTGTTTCGAATGAAGTGAGGCTTTTCCTATATTAACTAAAAATCTCAAAACTTTACTTAAATTCATATTATGTATTTAGCATATCAATTTTAATTAAGTTAAAGTCTTAAATAACAATTTATATAATACTACTAATTTTAATATTTTTTGCTAAAGATTCTATAGTTGAACTTACTGTGTGTATGTGTGTATGTAGGTATAAGCGGGTTGGCACGTCAGAAGCACGTGGTGTGTGAACTTGACCGGTGACGTCAGCGCCCTTCACTTTGCACTCAACAACCTTAAGGCCATTTATCTTAAAGATATTGCTAAGTGTATTGACATTAAACGTTGTGACATGTAAAAATAGCAAGTACGTTAAAAGTATCCTATTCTTAGAAAGCTTTTTAAAAGTTTGGGTTTGCTATCGCCAACGTATTTGTATTTTGAATATTCGGTATGTACATACTACACCATTTCGACGTTCCTTCAAGAAACGTACCAAATTATAAAAGGCCCGCAACGCACTTGCAAGCCTTCTTATAATGTCAGTATGGGCGGCGGTATCACTTAACATCAGATTAGCCCGTTTTCCCTCTATTATATTTTTTTCTATATACATGTGTCTTTACTAAGACATCATGGAACATTACGATCTAGTCTTACTTAAGACTAATAAGTAATTTAAGTCTAACTTAATTTACTAATTAGGATATTTAACCCTCCTGTTATATAAAAAAAAGTGAAAAAACTTTTATGTAGCTAGAAAAACACTTTTTTACCGGATTGAAGTTATGTGTTATTATAAATTTACAATTATTTTACATAATTATAAATTTAACCGACGTTTCGCGTGCTTTACAGCGTGCGTGGTCACGGTGACTGAAGACAAAAGGTGTTGAATGTCAAATAGTATCACAGCTGTAGAAAAAGTTGTGTTATCTGTCTTATTTCCCCGGAGTTGGTCTCGACTAAAAGATGGAGGGGAATGGCTCAAATTCAATACGGTAAAAACATGTTTTTCTATGTGTAAAACTTATGTCAATAAAAGACAATACTATGTTTTATGTAGCTTACAATATAAAGCCTTACTTAGTAGAAACCCGCTGTCCTCTTTATTATTTCAAAGTTCTAATATTCAATTACTTTGTACCTGTATTGTGTTCCTGTGTTTCTTGTTAAAGCAAACGTCAAAGTTTTAATTAACTTTTTACAAAAACCTTTAAAATGGTTATTCGTTACGACCGAGAAACAATGGTAAGAAACAGTAGTAGCTCTTTTAAAAGACAAAAAATATCTTCTAGTGTCGTAAACAGACATACGCTGAGCAAGCTATGGGCATGAGGGTAACGGAGACGAGTTTGAAGGTAATAATGCTCAATGTTAGGTTGAGGGGCATCTTTTTGGGATTTGCTGTGAGGGTCATGCAGGGGGTTATCAAAAGAAATAGGTAGTAGTAGAAATAGTAATATAGTAATATAGTAATATAGTAATATAGTAATATAGTAATATAGTAATATAGTAATATAGTAATATAGTAATATAGTAATATAGTAATATAGTAATATAGTAATATAGTAATATAGTAATATAGTAATATAGTAATATAGTAATATAGTAATATAGTAATATAGTA